ATCTGATTTGCTTTCAGTGCAATCAGAGGGGACATAAAAGGTCCCAGTGTCCCAGTTTAGCTGCAGCAGGGAAGGTGGTTGCACCTGCCCCTGCCACCTTGAGGATTACGGATGGCCGGCAGGGCCGAGCTGATGCGCCAGTGGCGAAGAGCAGGGCATTTCAGATGACAGCAGAGGAGGCGCGAGCGACTCCTGATGTGGTGACGGGTATGAATCTTTCCTTCATCTTTAATTGTTATTATATCGTTGAATATTACTTGATGTATGTTTTATTTAGGGTCGTTCTCGTGAACGGCATCTGCTTTGGTATTGTTCGATTCGGGGGCTACCCGATCATTTGTATCGCTTGCGCTTAGCAAGAGATTTAGCAGAGCTCCAGGGGAGCTGGATTGTCCACTAGAGGTTGAGATAGCAGATGATAGGACCGTGAGGGTCGGCAGAGTACATAGAGGGTGTTCCCTTCAGATATTTGATGAGCAGTTTTCAGTGGACCTGGTTCCTATTCCCCTGCGTGGGAATAAAGTTATTGTGGGCATGGATTGGCTGAGCCCCAATGGGGCGGTGATTGATTGTGAGCTTCAGCTAGTGAGGGTTCGCACTCCCAGTGGGGGAGAGATAGTGATTCAGGGCGAGAGGCCCCAGCGAGGACCGATCTTTTGTTCCGCCGCAAGGGCGAGGCGCTATGTTCAGCAGGGTTGCGCCGGTTTTGTAGCTTACGTCTTGGATGCCCGGGAGAAGGGCAAGACGACGATTGATGATGTTCCTATTGTTCGTGACTACCCGGATGTGTTTCCCGAGGATTTGCCGGGGATACCTCCAGAGAGGCAGGTTGAGTTCAGGATCGACCTAGTTCCTGGTGCGGCTCCGATAGCCAAAGCACCGTATCGACTTGCTCCCCCTGAGATGCAGGAGTTGTCTACACAGCTTCAGGAGCTGTTAGACAAGGGTTTCATTCGGCCGAGCAGTTCGCCTTGGGGAGCGCCGATCTTATTTGTGAGGAAGAAGGATGGGTCGCATCGTATGTGCATTGATTATCGGGAGTTGAACAAAGTAACGGTGAAGAACCGTTACCCACTTCCGAGGATAGATGACTTGTTTGATCAGCTTCAGGGAGCGTCTTGGTTCTCCAAGATCGATCTACGCTCCGGTTATCATCAGATGAGGGTTAGAGATGAGGATGTACAGAAGACTGCTTTCAGGACCCGGTATGGTCATTATGAGTTCGTGGTGATGCCATTTGGGCTCACCAATGCCCCAGCCGCGTTCATGGATCTCATGAACCGCGTGTGCAGACCGATGCTGGATCGGTCGGTGATAGTGTTTATAGATGACATCTTGGTGTATTCCAAGACACAGGGGCAGCACGAGGAGCACCTGCGGGAGGTGTTGGAGACTTTGAGGAGGGAGAGACTTTTCGCAAAGTTCTCCAAGTGTGAGTTCTGGTTGCGCGAGGTGCAGTTTCTTGGTCATCTCGTCAACCAGAAGGGTATTTTGGTAGATCCGGCCAAGATTGAGGCCGTGATGCAGTGGGAGGTCCCGAGGTCTCCATCTGAGATTCGGAGCTTCCTGGGGTTGGCAGGGTATTATCGGAGATTTATTCAGGACTTCTCCAAGATAGCAGTGCCGCTCACCCGACTAACCAAGAAGTCGGTGGTTTTTCGTTGGGGGCCTGAGCAGCAGGCGGCGTTCGAGACTCTCAGGCAGAGATTGTGCGAGGCTCCGATCCTTACCTTGCCAGAGGGAGTAGAGGATTTCGTAGTCTATTGTGATGCTTCGATCACAGGTATGGGAGCAGTATTGATGCAGCGAGGCCATGTGGTAGCTTATGCCTCGAGACAGTTGAAGCCTCACGAGGCTAATTATCCTACCCACGATTTGGAGCTGGGGGCAGTTGTGTTTGCCCTCAAGATTTGGAGACATTACCTTTATGGGGTCCGCTGTACTATATACACGGATCACAAGAGTTTGCGATATCTTATGGATCAGCCGAGTTTGAACATGAGGCAGAGGAGATGGTTAGACGTGCTGAAGGACTATGACTGTGAGATCCTTTATCATCCAGGGAAGGCCAATGTGGTGGCCGACGCCCTGAGCCGCAAGGTGTCGACGGCCCCTATCAGAGATCTGTGTATGAGGATGACAGTGATCACTCCGTTGTTGGAGCGGATCAAGGAGGCTCAGATGGAGGGCCTCAAGGAGGAGAGGCAGAAGTGTGAGAGGATAGTGGGCCGAGTAGCTTCATTTGATTACGACAGTCGGGGTTTGTTGACGCTTCATGGTAGGATATGGGTACCGTACTGGGGTGGGGTACGGCAAGTATTGATGGACGAGGCTCATAAGTCTCGATTTTCTATCCACCCAGGAGCGACGAAGATGTATCGAGATCTTCGACCTGATTATTGGTGGCCCTGCATGAAGCGAGACGTCGCTTGGTATGTTGAGAGATGTTTGACCTGCGGAAGGTCAAGGCGGAGCACCAGAGACCTCACGGCAAGATGCAGCCGTTAGACATTCCCGTGTGGAAATGGGAGGATATCACCATGGATTTTGTCACCAAACTCCCCAGGACCGCACGTGGAGTGGACTCGATATGGGTAGTAGTGGATCGGTTGACGAAGAGTGCCCATTTTATTCCGATTCAGGAGAGTATATCGGCGGAAAAGTTAGCCGATATCTATGTGCGGGAGATTGTGGCACGTCATGGAGTGCCGGTATCGGTGGTGTCGGACCGAGATGTTCGTTTCACGTCCAGATTCTGGAAGCGGTTCCACGACGAGATGGGTACTCGTCTCCATTTCAGCACCGCTTTCACCTCAGACTGACGGGCAGAGCGAGAGGACGATTCAGACTCTTGAGGACATGCTTAGGGCATGTGTTCTAGATTTTGGGGGCAGTTGGGATACGTATCTTCCGTTAGCGGAATTCTCGTATAACAACAGTTATCATGCGAGCATTGATCGACCTCCTTTTGAGATGTTATATGGCAGGAAGTGCAGGACCCCGATTTGTTGGGGCGAGGTCGGTCAGCGAGTCATCGGGAGCACCGAAGTGGTGCTCAAGACGACTGAGTTGATCCAGCAGGTCCGTAGTAGGCTGCAGACTGCGCAGAGTCGGCAGAAGAGCTACGCCGACAGGAGGCGTTCGGACTTGGAGTTCCAGGTGGGAGATATGGTTCTTCTGAAAGTCTCACCTTGGAAAGGTGTCATCAGGTTCCGGAAGAGGGGCAAATTGGGCCCCAGATTTATTGGTCCTTTCAGGGTTTTGGCCCGGGTGGGTCGGGTTGCTTATCGGTTAGATCTCCTGAGGAGCTTAGTCAGATACACAACACCTTCCACGTGTCGCAGTTAAGGAAGTGTTTGGTGGATGAGACGGCAGTCGTTCCCTTAGAGGATATTCAGGTTGATAGCGGCCTGAATTATATCGAGAAGCCGGTCGCGATTCTGGAACGGAAGACAAGACCTTGAGGAACAAGGTAATTCAGCTAGTAAAGGTGCAGTGGCAGCACCGGAAGGGGTCTGAGTGGACGTGGGAGGCTGAAGAGGAAATGAGAGCGCACTACCCGGAAATTTTTGCAGATCCAGCCGTAGCAAACTTCGAGGACGAAGTCTGAGACAAGTGGGGGAGAATTGTAACGACCCGTTCCCGGTATGTTAATTCACTGGTAATTGTTGTAAAGTTTTGCAAGAGGGACTCGGCGAGTTCTAGCCTGACTCGCCGAGTAGGGTCGCACCTGAGGGCACGCGTGAGCCGGGGACTCGGCGAGTCCATATCCCTGACTCGGCGAGTCCATCCGTCTGGGTGAAACCCTAAATCCCCGGGTTGCCCACTATTTAAACCACCTTATAGCCCCCATCCTCGCCTCCCTCACCCTGAGAACGCAGTGATAGAACCCTAATCCTCCCTTGAAGAGCTTATATGTGTTTTGGTGCCATTTTGTGAAGGTGTGAAGAAGGAGAAGAAGGAAGAAGCAAGGAGAAGTGTTGTAGTGCAAAGATCCAAGGCCAAATCAGAGTTAATTGAGCCGATGAGATTCAGGAGCAGCAGCCGTTAGCTTCCCGAGCCACACACTCAGCAGCCAGCTTACGAGGTGAGTTTCCTTCCAGTAGAGACGGGTCTAAGGCCACAATGTCAGCCCGTTCAGTTAGCAGTGGTTTCCGGATTTAGGTCCGATGCAGTAGCTAGTATGTTCGATGCCTTCGTGGCTCGAACAGGATTTTGTGTGCTATGTTTTATGCGTTAAGTATTATGTGTTCCGGGCTACGGCCCGATGTAGTATGCCGTATATGTGTTTATGCTAGTTGATGTGTTATGCTATGCCATGTTCAGTCAGTCGGTTCCGGACTTTGGTCCGATGCAGATAGTTCCGGACTTCGGTCCGATGTAGTTAGTTCCGGACTTCGGTCCGATGCAGTTAGTTCCAGACTTCGGTCCGATGCAGGGGACAAGGTCCCAGTCAGTTCCGGACTTCGGTCCGATGCAGTTAGTCCCGGACTTCGGTCTGATGAAGGGGACAAGGTCCCGGTCAGTTCCGGACTTCGGTCCGATGCAGTTCCGGGGTTCGGCCCGATGCAGTGGGCAAGGCCCAATATGTGTTTATATGTTATTGTATGGTATGTGGTAGTTTGGGGGAGCTCACTAAGCTTCGTGCTTACAGTTTCAGTTTTGTTTTCAGGTACTTCCGCAAGCAAAGGGAAGAGCTCGGGGTGACAGCATCGCACACACCACAGCATAGCTTTTATCCTGGGGATGTCTTTTGATGATTTGGATTGATGTAGTATGATGCAGTTTTCCGCACAATATTTTATTACGTTTTGGGGATACATCGCGTATGTTTTATGTTATGATACTTATATTATGGTTTTGATTATATTGAAAAACGAAAATTTTTGGGTCGTGTTTTTGGGTCGTTTCAATATGTATGTATGTATGTATGTACGTATGTATGTATGTATGTATGTAGAGTTTACGGTCCGAGGGAGGTTCACGGCCCGAAGGAGTTCATGACCGAGTACGAGAGATGTTTACGACCCAAAGGCTTGTTTGCGGTCCGAGAGTTTACTGCGCAACGAAGGTTCTCGGGTGAAGGCTCTTTGGTTCCAAATGTTTTTCCCTCCAAAACACATATCACACTTGAATACAAGGTTTATACCCCTATAATTCATTACCGTAACTATATTAAGATAAATAAAGAAATAAGTTTGACCTTTAATAGATAAGTTTGACTTTTAAAAGATAGAAAGTATGGGTTGTCACAAGAATCAACAGTATCGTGTTTTTTGACTTCCGATTTCAAAAAGTCAATCTCTGAAAAGAAAAGTCAAATTCTATATACAATCGATGAATCAATGAATTGAATGTTGAATTTGTTTAATATAATTCATAATTGTGTTGTGAATGCTGAATTTGAGTTTAATTTGCGATTAATTTCGAAATCGACGGGGTCTATGTACTTGATGCCGAACACAGTTCATGATTCACATCTTGAATGTCGAAGCTTTTATAGCCAATGTCAATGGGTATAAAGAGCTTGTGAAAGTAATAAGTGTTGATATCCAGTTCACATATGAGAAGGATATAAGGAACTTGATTTGAAGTTGACTTTTTAGAGTCAACTAAAGCTCGACTATTTTTGGGATGGTTCGCATCTATGGTTGTGTTTTGGATGTTCACTTTCAGCTAATAGATGTTGATGTCTGATCATTAAAATGAAGTGAGTTTTTTCCGAAAAAAAAAATCGTTTTTTATATATCAACAAAGATCTCTATGGAAAGAGGACGAAAAATCGAGAAAAACGGTATATTCGATTTTTTTTTGAAAAAAAATGTGGCCTAAAAATATTTTAAACAAAAAAAAAGAGGTGAGTTTTTTGGTAAGGAGGTGGATTTTTTGGTATAATACGGTATATATATATATATATATATATATATATATATATATATATATATATATATATATATATATATATTCCTTTATGGTTTTCATTACAGCGTATGTGGAACAATATGAGAACATTTTTCTTAATTATTAATTTAACATGTAATAATAAAATTGTAGTAGACACAAAATTAAAATAATAGTTTTTTTTTTAACTTTGAGAGATAATACGTTAAGTTTTTATGAATTTTTCCTTCGTTCATCATGATAAGACAACTTTATCAAAATAAACCAATATAAATAGTAGATTTTAGAGATTGTTATAAAATAATTTAGAAGCAAATGATAATCAAATCAACCTGTCTTACTTCATTTATCAAGTTATTTATTAAAATTAAGACAATAATATAAGTTATAGAAAATAAAATATATCTTTCAAACACTTTTATTTGGATATTAATTTAAAAAAATAGCATGAATTATGACATGAAAATACAATTGGGCTTATTAGGCTTGTTGCTTACGGAAGAAGATTCAGATCACTTCATCCACCTATTTTGGGGCTCACGGGCAAAGTAATTGCAAATTTGCATCCTCCGAGACATACGTATTACGCATACCAGACGAAAGACCGATCGATCGAAAGAGGAGAAATTATGTCATCGAAGGTGGTTTTGAAATCAAAGGGCAAATCATTGAGAGGATCAAAGCCATCAGACGATAATTCAACATCGAAGCTCTTGAAGGAATGGAGTACATGGACGATGAAGAAAGCTAAAGCCATCACTCATTACGGATTCATAGCATTGGTCATCATCATCGGCATGAATTTGGAGCCCAAACCATCGATCTCTCGGCTCCTTAGCCCGATTTAAATCGTAATAACCCGTCTCTATTCGTCGAATTTCATTCTAAATCAAGTCGAATCTATATCTAGACATAAGTTAGGGATTTTGTTTGTTTGTGTATTTGCTAGCGGTGGTTAATTGAATCGTTTGATATGCAGCTTTGGTTTTCTGTTTCTGTTACGAATTAGTATGACTTAATTTGCTGTATTAGTCTTTACTAATATCTGTTTACATATATTGCAAATAGATTGTCTTGTGTCAAGCAAAAACATGTTGGGTTTTTTTTTTCTCTAAAATTGAAAGCAAAAACATGTTTCTGTTCCGAATTAGTATGATTGGTATGAGTTTGCTTCTAGGGTTTTAACCTTCATGGTTGCATATGGTTAATCCTTGGTGATGTTTAATCTTTTACCACTGTTTTTTCTCTAAAAACACCCGGTATATTTGCATCTTTTATTAATTTCTTTGACTAAACTATGCTTCTGAGATTGATCAATGAAGTAAAAGACATAAAATGGTTTCACTACTTATAGGTTGGATATGTATGTTTGATGTAGTTTAGTTAGAGGATTTTGCTAAACTGTTGCAGTGATGATTGAATGTACAACTTTAAGTTGGATCTTCTTCAGAATATCCATGATTAATAGAGCTGTGTTTACAAGATTGGTAACTAAGATGTGAAAAGAGATAAAAGAAAAAATAATACTTTTAACATTGTCTTACTTTGTAAATGTTAGTCATTTCTATCATCATATTTCTATGAACTGCAAATTTAATCCTAGTATTGTTATTAATTCATAGTAATTGTTTTCTGTATAGCATTTTATTAGGTTTTGTATCAAAATTTATGTTGTTCTAAAAAAAATGAGGTCATTGAAAGGAATAAACATAGGGGCATTATTTTAGGATAATAATAAGGATAGTTCGGGCAGAATTTAATAAAGTGGTTGAATGTGTTGGAATGTTTATTTGACATTCAATGGATTAACGTTTTTTTTATAGAGGGATGACATGATCAATTGATATAGATTTCAATCCTTATTGACATCTTCAATAAAAAAAAGATATTTTTTTGAATATAAAATGATTAACAAATACATGTCTTTTCTAAATATGTTTAATTGAACCTTTGTTAAAGTCGATAGATTATATGAAAAAAAATGTTCAATATTAGTATGAAAAATGAAATGATAATGGAGAAATTTATTAAACGCGATAATTGTAAATGTCCTAAGCCATCTTATAGTTTGTTTGGTTACACACTGTTTGCAAAATGTTATTAGAGATGAAAAGGAAACTAAATTAAATGCCCCAAGCCATTGTAGAGGGTGTTTAGGATTACTTTTGAAAACAATTGTTGACTTTCGTAAGTTGAAAAAAATGTTTGGGTAATTGAAAAGCATTTTTGAAGACAACTTTTTCTATAAACTTCAAAATGGAATTTTGGAAAAACATGAAGAACCCGATTTTTTGAAGTGTTATTGGCTTTTTTATTCTACCACAATATCTTGGTTTAACCTTATATCCACCCAACCTTATACTCACATAACTATTTTTAATCATTTTACATTTAAAAGTGAAGCCAAATATTTTTTTATTAAAACAACTTATTGGTTTTTGCCTAAAAAAATAACTTGTTGGCTTTTGCCACTATAAATTCTAATCCAAACATTTTTTAAAAAACCATTTTTGGAAAAGTTATATGTCAATAAACTCTTTTGTCCGAAAACACTTTTGAGGTCCAAAAAGCAATCTCATGTATTAACATGTAAGTGATCATCTTTTCACTAGATCATCACCCTGGTTAGAATATGCGTAACCAACCAAGTTATTATTCCATGTATTAACATAAAAAATGTTAGTCGTTCCATTCAACTATCGTATAATCCATTTGACCGCTTCCCAATGAACTTTTCTTAGATTACTTATAAACCTACTTACCATATTAACTGGACGACAACACAATCCAAATCAGATTTAGTACATATCATAACATAAATGGGACTTCCAACAACACTCAAATAAAGAACTTCTCTTTTGAAATTTCTTTCTCAGCATGTAGTTAGATAATCCTTCGATTAAGTTTAAAGTGTGCTGCCAAAAGAGTTCCCATAAGTTTAGACTAATCAACATTAAATGATTGAAATACTTTCTTAATATAGTTTTTAGATATATATAACATCTCTACTCTTTTATATCTTCGAATATAATCCCTAATATATTCTTTGTTGCACTAAAATCCTTCATCCTGAATTCACTTTCTAGTAACGCCTTCAGGACATTAATTTCAACCATATTCCTGGTTACAATGAGCATATCATCCATGTATAGAAACAAATATATGTAGGAACCATCATACATTTCCTTTGAGTAGACACAACTTTCAAACCTCTTGTAAAATTGTATTGTAGGCTACTTCAAACCATAAAGGGATTTATTTAGTTAACATACTTGATCTTTCTTGGAGCCAAAGAACCATTTTGGTTGGGACACAAAAATTTTATCATCTAGATTACCATGAAGAAAAGTATTTTTTACATCAAGTTGCTTAAGTTCCATATCAAGTACACTCACCATGGCTAGTAGAACCCGAATCGTTTTGTGTGTCACAACGGGTGGGAATACTTTTACCACTAGCCTTGCTTTCAACCTTGTTGGTTCATATATAGTAACTCCTTCTTTTAGTTTAAAGAGCCATTTGCATCTCATTGGTTTTTCTCCTTTTGGTAATGGAACAATATCCCAAACTTCATTCTTTTCAATTGATTGCCTTTCTTCATTATTCACCATTAACAATTTGTTTCTTCATTACTCGCTACAACCTCTTTGTAAGACTGAGGTTCATCTGTATCAATATCCTCTCTTATCGCTAGTGCATATGCTACAGATTTGCTCACAAGTATCGACACATCCTACATATCCAGGGGCTTTTGAATGTTCACTTCCCGCCTTCTTTTTGCTATAATTTGTACCTCGTCATTTTTTCTCTCAACATCAACATCTCTAGAATCTTTTGAATGTTCCTTTAAGAGTATTGGAATTGGCATAATCTAAACTTAAGGTTAACCCTCCCCCCCCCCCCCCCCCGCGCACAAAAAAAAACTTTAAATCATCAAAATAACATCATACTCTATAAGACATGAAAGAAGCATTAAAGCATTTGTATATCAATAAAACATCAAATATTAACAATACATTGACACCCAAAAGTAAAATATGGATAAAAGGAAAGTTAAGCAATTGCATTTTATCAAATCACCAATACCCATAATAATCTCAAAGTCCAACCCCACTCACCAAAGAATCACCAATATGGGAAATAGCTTGTGAGCACACCAAACTAAGATACATGTGACCATTACACAAGGTCCATATATGAGGTAACTACCATCATATGTAAGTGAGGCTTTTCTAGAATGTTTTCACACACCACAGTCACCAAAAGTTCACTAAAGTTGGGTACGCGTCCAAAATGACCCCGTCATCTAAATAAGTCCTAATTAAATGCACTGACAATGGATGTAAAAACATTTTACCAAAAACATAGAACTTTACACATTTTAAATAGGCACACCAAATACTTTTCGTGATTGCAAAAAATACATTTAATATTCACAAAACATTCATATAATTTCATAGAAAGTCACACCAAATATCATCAAAACAATTATATAGACATATACTCGTAGTGTACTCACCTCATTCAAGTATTAACATTCCCTTCTTCACCTTCAATCTTGCTAAGCACCTATAAACTCCCATTGTTCAATAAACTGAAGAAACCAGCCACGAAACTTAATTTCAATTCAAAAATAATAGTAGGTTAAATTTTATGATTCCAACAAGTGTCTTGCTAACAAGAACCACTAAGGGAATACTGATATAAATTTCAGGTCTATTAGACAAAAGTAGTTTTTGAGAAACAAGCAAAATTCCACTTAACCGATAACCTAATCATATAAAAAACATGAAAAACCTATTTCTAAGTTCATTATGAAGGTATATATGGTCTCCACACACTTCCAAAGTCACCTAAATGACCTCTAATGGCTATAATACGTCACAAATAGCATTTTTGGCTAGGAAATTCTATTTATGTATTATCATCTCTTGATATATCGTGTAACTCTAAGATTGGTGTAATACAAGTTATTCATTTAAAAAACAACTATTCAAATCAAAACTCACTTGTGGAACCCTAAACTAAATTCAATGCACTACACTCACTCGACTTTGGGCTGGTAACCCTAATTTCTTGGTTCAAACCCTTATTAGGCCAGAGATCATTTATTGGGCCTAATGGGCCAATAAACCTACAACTTGATTATTTTTGGTGAAGATACCTCATTTAGGCCCTAATTGGACCCACATTCACTAAGTAATAGCATTTTAGGCCATAAGACTCATCATGGGCCTTATTGGGCCGAAAACCATCTTCTTTTGTTATAATGGGCTGAAAAGCCATTCCCTTTTATCATATTGGGCCGTGAACACACATGTGGGCCTAATGGGCCAAAAATTCTCATTTGGGCTAATATATTCTCGGTTTGTATTCAATCCCAATACCCAATCTCTTTTCTCCCCTCTCTACTCTCAATTTTTATAAAAAAAAAAGAAAGAGAAGAAAATCTAACAATCTAAGAACTTGACACATCACTAATACTCAATGGTAATTCATGCTTAATACACAACATGTATCAATGCATGGCGTATTAGACTTCAATTAATAACCAAGCTAATCTCTCACTTCTCTCTATTTAACCTCGACCGAAACCCTTCACCATCACTCTCATTTTCCACTCCAAATACACTAAAAATCCTCTCAAGAACACAAAGAATTTCCTTCCACTTACTCTAAAAATCGTGTGGTGTTTGAGAAAATCCAAGACTTCTACTTCAAGAATCATTAAGTTTGGTAAGTTATCATCATTCTCAATTGGTTTGATTTCATTTCATGTTAAGATTCACACTCTTAAACACTCCATTTCATGATTCTTGTTTCTTAGAACTCCTTAAGTTCGAATATCTCATTAAGGGAACTTGCTAGACCGAAAACATCTTCTTCTTCTCTTTAAAACCGATCCAACACCCAAAGTGAGTTCATACCCCCTTGTTTTCGGTTTTTACTATGTTTTGGGGGAGGATACAAGTTGCTTTTGTGTTAGATCTATGTACTTATGCATGTATATGTGTGTTTTCATATTATATGTTGTGATTATGTTATGAAAACATGTTAAATCTTCACTCGAAATACCTACTAAACTTGGTGATGTTTATAAACTAAACCATCTTATGTGACTTAATATGAAGTTGAAAGAATTAAACATGCTAAGGATGTTTGAAAACTAAATAAAACCGTATAAGGGGCCATATTTGACAAATAAACAAAAAACGAGGTCTTTATGACACTCATGGTTTTGAGAGGACCAAAATAGTCATTTTTAAATAAAAATGGATCTTTATGATATTCATGGTTTCAAAGGGGCCAAAAATGTGAATTTTCACAAAATGGGCTTCTATTTGGGCCTTCACGGTTTTAATGGCTTAAATTTGTCAATTTTCACAAAAACGAGTCTTATTTAGAAACTTACGGTTTCATGGGCCTAAAAAGATAATTATTGACTTTTTATGGATTAAATTGTCATTTTAAATAAACATGGGCCAAAAATATAAATTTTTGGTTAAATGGGCTGAAATATCATTTCTATTAAATTTGGGACAAAAATGTTATTCTATCAAAAGTGGGTTGAAAATGTCATTTTATACAAAATAAGCCCATAAAAGTAAACTTTCGGTCTTAATGGGCCTAAAGTGTTATTTTTACCAAAAATATGCCTTAATTGTAAATTTTCGGCCTAATGGGCCAAGAATGTCATTTTTTACAAAAAGTTGGTCTTTTATGTCATTTTGGTAAATAATGGAGCTAAAACAAGCAATATAATAACCAATGGGCTAATTACGTCATTCTCACTTTTATTGGGCATTGTTTATCTATTTTCATGTTATTAGGCCTTCGTGGTCCATTTACCTGCTTATTGGGTCTGATACATTCATTACATGTTTATTGGGCCTTAGTGACCCATTTATATACTTATGGGGCCTGATACATTCATTACATGTTTATTGGGACTTAGTGACTCATTTACATGCTTGATAGGTTATGTATACTCCTTACATGTTTATTGGGCCTTGTTAACCCATTTACATGCTCAACGGACATTAGATGCATATTTCATGCTTATTGGGCCTCATTCATTCATGTACATACCCATTGGGACTTGCAACCTAAATACATACACGGAAACGTATTTAAAGCATTAAACGACGTGTTACAATATTCGCGTAAACATAGTTAAGGTTCTTGTGAGACGTTCTTTCATTCGTTCCTAGCTAGTGTACAACCTTCAGTCCTGTAGTTATAACCAGAGTCTCATGGAGGGAGAGCGAGAGTTTGTGTATAGATCTATATGGGGTTGACAACCCCGCACTTGAGTTCTTCGCTATAGCTAGACTAGGTCAGTCTAGGGTGACAAATGTCTTACCTTAAACAAGTTGACACCTGAAAAACGTCATGACAAACAGATCAGTCATATCAAACATGGTTATAACGACTCACATAGAAATTAACTCCACTGTAAAATTTACGCAATACTTATACATTTCTGCAGTTACAATACTATACAAACAACATTTTACGATCTTAGGGTTTAAGACCACAACACTTTTACAAGTAGAAAATATCGGATTTTCTATGAAAATTACATTATACATTACCTTCTACTTACAACAGAAAAAAATAGGATGTTCCTGGAATACTCTCTTTATACATTTTCAAAACAGAAACACATATGCTTTAATACAAGATTTGATACAAAACGTTTAAACCATTTTTATAGAAAATATCGGATTTTCTGGTGTTTACAAAGTGAAACAAACTTTTCATACAAACATGCTTATGAACTCACCAACATTATATATGTTGTAAGCTTTCAAAATAATTTGTATTCTCAGGAAATCGTTAAGCAGGTTGGTCACCAAGAACACATGGATTTCGTCGTATTTTTCTTATCATCATACACTTATTATTTTGGAATGTAATTTGTAATCCAATACACTTATGTAAACAATGATGGTTGTATTATTATATGTGTGATGATGATGTTGTCTTGATTCAATTATTTACATTGTGATGATATTACAAGACAAAGTCACCCAACCCCGGGACGATTCTGGCGTTCTGGTTCGGAGGTGTGACATAAGATGCTTAAAAATCCATTTTGAATCAAGTATACCATCTAAAACATAATCATTCTGATAATCAAACACCCAAAATGGAAGATCATGAGCATAGAACTTCAGTTCCTTAAATGACAACATCAAATGCATCCTATATCCTTAAGTAATGGCATTGTTTCAATTAACCACCGGTTCCTCACCAATAAGCTTCAATATGACCAAATAACTTCATAAATAGATTTTAATGATTTCAAAAGATAATATAGCTCAATCAATGATTTACACCAAGGTCCAAACTTCTTGGAAACTTGCTAGAAGCTCCAAAAACTCAAATAAACTCATTAGAAATAAAAGGAAGTATCAATTGCAAATTATTATGAAGACCTAACAATAGAGAATAGAAAATCAAAGAAGAGATGATACCTCAAAGCACTTGAGAATGATGAAGATGGAACCAGATCTTCAAAAGAGCAAAAATGAAGCTTCAACTTCTTACAATGTCTAAAAGATGTCTATAACTCTCTTTCAACTTTTGGAGACGGATTAAATGGATAGGGAAAGGAGAGTCACATTCCTCATGTTCGAACTATGACAAATTTACACAAATAGTCCATATACTTTCCATTTTAACACTTAACTCGTCTTTTGAATTATATTATTTTACTCATATAATTTCAACTTTCATCATTCTATATCAACTTTATAACATTTTAAGTCCTAGCCAAGTTATATGGATGGGTTAACTTTGAAATTTCACTAAATTTACACTTTTAACTTAAATGCATTCATTTAGGTTTTCATCATATTGTTTTTATAAAAATCTAGTTCCTTAATTAATATTGTTATTATTATGATTATTTTATTATCTCTATAGTTTCTTAAATTTTATTTTATTTTTCGAAAAGATGAAAATCATTGCATATGATTAATATGGAAACACCATATAAACATATAAGACCATGATTGTAACAATGTTTTCATTAGCAATAATGAAAAACATTTGACACATCCTAATAATGAACAAGTTAAGACTCTTTTATCAACAAGACTTATGTTCCTAGATGCATGCTTCATATGAAGCTTGTACATTAAGATACTTGGATTTTAATAACTGTAGGTGCATTATATTTACATGATAGTAATAAATATTGAGTTATGCCATTGATTTTTTTTTTTTTTTTGTAAATAAAAAACAACTTATAAATGTTGTTACGGATGAGATTAGGAATGAGAAGGTGGTATAGACTAAAAAGGATGGATATTGTAAAAGTTTAAAGATTTTCATACTTGATTTATATACTACAATATTGAGTTACATAATTATTTATTAACTAATAAAAAATAAACATCAATATAAGTGTTAAGGAGATTACGATCACATACACAAAGGCTTACGAGACACCATCCTAGTCTAATTGTCGTATTAGGTGGAAAGCATGTCACTATGCTGCTCTCTAATATCCATACACACATAAAGAAAATATAACACCTCCATGCTAACTTCTGAGATAGAGTTTCAACAATTTTAAAAATTATTGACCTTTACAATAATACAAATCCTTTAATAGAGATCAAACACATTCTCAATATTGAGCCATTGGATATGATTTTTTAGATGAGGATTTTTGTCAATTTGAACACGAGCTAGTACGATCGATAAATATTGAAACTGTTTTTAATTTTACATCTAATAAATTCAGTTATTCATTATTTAATACCGTTACTCAGTGTTTCGTAGTTACCAATTATTTCGAAACTTCTTAGTATCTCGCAAATTTACTTATGAAACTTCATCTTATTTATTGACGAAAATACCAACTATTTCACAAATTTTTGATATCTTGCAGCTTAATGTGTTGTAATTAAAGTATTTTCAAAACCGGCTTTATGATACACGAAAATTCATGTATTTTATATAAAATACAAGAAGTTTTGTAATAAATTAATGAAAAAATACTTTAAAATTTCTAAGTTTACAAACAAGAAAAGTTATTTCGATATTTTATGTGAAAAATGATCAAAAGGTTTAATGCAATTTGAGATATATTTTTTTTGTGTGATTATCTCTTTGTTTAGGTGATAATTCTCGACACGACCCGCGATACGATATAAAATAAATGAGTTTGAGTTGAGATTTTCAACCCGCCAACATGCTAACCCGTTTATTAAGCGGGTCGTACATGTGTTTCTTAAAAAATAAGCGAGTTGACCCGCTAACCTGTTTATATTTTTAATATATATATATATATATATATATATATATATATATATAAAAAATTTTTAAATGTATTTATAGATCAAGTATTAATATTTAATAAATATTATATAATAAGTATTATCTATGTTTGTATTAATGTTTACTTTGAACATGTTCTATAAATGTTTTTAATTTTTATTTTGATGTTTAACACTTAAGTAGTTAAACGTCTAAAATTTGGATATGTTTGCATCAACCATAAAGAATTTATTCATGTTTAATTGTCCATTTTATTTATGGAATTTTACCTACCAACCCGCCAACCTATGAACTCATATAAATAAATGGGTTGACGGGTCATATATAAGGGTTTATGTTTTAAATCCACCAATCTGTCACTTGTATATTTAAATTGGTCGAGTTTGGATTTACATATTTCATTTGCGGTTTGCCAATCTATTGGGCTGGCAACACAAGTTACCTACTTATTAGACCCAAGGATATTAGGCCTAGGGCACCCTCATTTCTAAACCGTGAACACCATCGTCCATCTTTCAGAGAAAGGGAAAAAACAATGTCGTCGAAGGTGGCTCTGAAGGCGAAAGGGAAATCAAGCAAAGGATCAAAGCCATCACCTGATAATTCACCATCAAAGCTCTTGAAGGAATGGAGCACATGGACCATGAAGAAGGCTAAAGTCATCACGCACTACGGATTCATTCCGTTGGTTATCATCATCGGTATGAACTCCGAGCCTAAACCCTCAATTTCTCAGCTTCTCAGCCCCGTTTGATCGGTAACAATCCTTCAGTATTCGTCGACTTGATTCCTGAAACGAATCAATTTACTCTATGTTGAAATATCGACTGCTACCGCGAGTTAGGGTTTCTATTTTTCTGTTTTTTCGCATCCTTCTGATGGGTTCTTCCAGTTACCTGCTTGTCTCATGAAGTAATAAAATTTAGGGTTTTTGTGATGCATCTAACTATATTTAAATACAAATGGATTTCTTGATTTTGTTATGTGCGAAAGAAATTGGGTTTTTTTGTTTTTTTGTTTATGAATTCTTAGATAGCTGCTTCCTTTGTTTGGTTTGGCTTTGTGTTTGATTATGTAATGTGCACATACACACATGTACATATTATGTGTTTATTATCTATGAATATATGCATATATGCCGCAAGTAGATAAAGATCTGTAATTTGATGTTCGCCATTAGCATCCACCACATTTTCGTTAATCTTTTGGGGTTCTGATTTCAAAGTAATCTTTATTTCAAATACTAGTAAGAATTCGTGTAGGATCATAATTTAAGTTTGATTCCCACATGAGCTTTCTATGAAAGTGGTTTGTGGAGAAGAAATAGAATTGTGGTTCTTGTCTGTATTTCAATGAACTTGAAGTCATCTTTAGAGAAAACTAGGGAAGAATCCCTTCGGGGTTAGAATTGCTAATGGAAACAACATAAAAACGTGAATTTATTAGCATAGATGCATCATGATTTATATAATTAATATAATGCCAGCAATGACAACATATCTTAAAATTAGATAAGAAGTTCTATCCGATGCTACAATGTCCCCATCTCTAGCCCTCCCTCTAACACCTCCTTTCTTGAGCACTTAACGATTGCTCCAAATTCTGCATACTATAAACATCTTTGATGCATAAATATAAGAAAATATTGTCCAAAATTTGAAGGAAGTTAATCAAGTTACTATGAACATACCTCATACATGGACCTTTTTGCTCTTATGTTGAAACCATTCTTATAGAATGTAGTGTTTTTAAAGAAAATGTGGTGCTTTTACAGAATATGCAACATTCAGTTTTAATTTGAGTTTAATTGATTTCAATTACACAAAGAATTTATTTGGCTATGACATTTTTTAAGAATATACAACACTTTTTTACACAGTACTCAAGAAATTTACATCAATTACAAAAATTACATTCTTTGATAATAAGATATATAACTTGTATAAGAAATTTTAACCGAATACAATTTTCAATTCTTAAAGAATTCAAACATTCTTAAAGAATACTCTTGAAAAAGTCAAGTATTACTGAATAATTGAAGAATAAAAAATGATTTCCAGATTCGTAACTCCATAAACTTTTTATGCAAACCGAAAAATTCTTGAAGAATTCAAGAATTCTTGAAGAATAGTTGAAGAATAAAATTCTTGAAGAATTCAATCCCCTTGAACACACTTCTTACTGGTATCAGACCTCCTCAAAGGATTTGGCCCTATTTGTTTCTCAATTTTAGACAAAAATGCAAATTTGGTCTTTGTGGTTTGCAAAAAACTTTGGATGGGATCCAAAATCTTTTCGATTTGCATGGATGGTCCAAAATTAGAAACTTTATGTGATTTTAGTCCTAAAAAGCTTAAAATGACTATTTTGCCAATATTATTTCTATTTTACATTTTTATAATTTGTTTTAGTAATTAAATAATCATAAAAAATAAAAAAAATTATCACCCTCTTGAATAATTATGAAAAAATAAAAAATAAAATCAACTACTCCCCCAAACTCTCTCTCTCTCTCTAAGTTCATCTTCTTCCTCTGTCTGCATCTTCTTCTTTCTCTATCTGTAAATCCGATGACCTCCTTATCATAGATACATCTCTAAGTAGAACAGGTGTAACGACTTTCTTATCACCATCCACCCTAATAATTCCAACATCTAATTTAGAGGTTTTATGCATAATCAAGAACAAACATGGCTGCAGGTATGTCTATTAGAGAATACGAGATTTTACAGAATTTAGATTGATTAAATGGAGCAAGAAGAAGCAGTGATGCTATTGGTTATGATTTGGGGTATCGAAAACGGTGTTGGTTGATTTCTTGCTAATCTCCATTCATCCACACCGATGTTCAGACATGAATCCCCTCCAGATGAGTTTTGTTGATGCTAGTATCACCATCCACCCTAATAATTCCAACATCTAATTTAGAGGTTTTATGCATAATCAAGAACAAACATGGCTGCAGGTATATCTATTAGAGAATATGAGATTTTACAGAATTTAGATTGATTAAATGGAGCAAGAAGAAGCAGTGATGCTATTGGTTATGATTTGGGGTATCGAAAACGGTGTTGGTTGATTTCTTGCTAATCTTCATTCATCCACACCGATGTTCAGACATGAATCCCCTCCAGATGAGTTTTGTTGATGCTAGTATTATTATTCATGAAGATGGGTGAGTCTTGATTTTAGCCCTATTGCAAAACAATATGATACCCTTCGTAAGGAATCACCAAGAGGGTTAGTGGAATACCAATTCTGGAAGAGAGTTAAGTTGACTTTCTCTTTGCCCCTCTCTTTCTCTCTCTCATACAAAACCTCCAACTCAAGAAAAAATTCAGAACAAATTTTTTTTATGTGTGTGTGCTTCGTTAGAAACAAATATTTTCAATATCCATAGATACACACACACACACACACACATAAACACTCTATAATCAATTTGCAGGTTTGAATCTTAACTTTACAAGCCCTAGATTTGCAATATCCATGGAAGTCAAGCCTTGAATTTACAAGACCCATGTTGAATTGATTGAAATCGATTCATCTGGGTTCAGTTGGACCTTGAACCTGTAATTGAAGGATAAGGCTTCCATGTCTCTCCTATCTTCTTCTTGACCAAGACACCCATCTGGATTAATTAGATGAAAAAATTCAGAATATGGTATATCTATACTGCATTCATAGATTTAATCGATTTGAGCATGAGATGAATAGGTTTATTTGGGTTCAAAATCGCTGCCACATTCAAATCGGAAAAATGGAATAACACCAACACCCACAATCGTGGATTGAATCGATTCTGGGGAGTTATGGCATTCGAGGGCTAATCAGGATAAATTGCGAACCAAATGTGGCTGCAGCGATGGCCGGTAATGGTGTCGATGACCATGGGTTTAGAGGATCATGGTGGTGTCATTGGGTTTAGGGATGAGTATACGAAAGTAGAAGAAGAGTTTGAGTCGTGGTCTTCTTGGTCATCAGAGGTAGAAGAAGAGTCTGAGTCGTGGTCTTCTTGGTCATGAGAGAGAGAGAGAGAGAGAGTGAGAGAGAGAGAGAGAAAGAGAGAGAGAGAGAGAGAGAGAGAGAGAGAAAAGTGGGCCATTCTTTTCTTTTCTATTTTTAATTGATAAAAGATTAATATAAAAATACAAAAAGGAAATTAGAAGGGTAAAATCGTCCTTTCAAGTTTCCCTAGGACCAAAAACAAAGAAACTGCTTAATTTTAGGACTAAAACCACGGAAAATATTTGATTTTGGACCTTCTATGCAAGTCGGAAACTTTTTGGACCCTATCCAAAGTTTTTTACAAAACACAAGGACCAAATATGCAGTTTGGTCTCAATTTTATTTGGTTTCTTTTTAGAGAAGGTCATGGTGATGTCAAACTCTCAATTCATTCAGATGCACGATAATTATATGATGGATTTTTTGTTTCTTATTTAGGCAATGATGTTTCTCTCCACAACCTTCTTAAACTAAAGGTGTCTGTTAATCATAGAACTCAAGTAGGGGAGGTATCTTTCTCCATTGATTTAGCATTTCTGATACATATCCAAAAATATTGAGACCAAAGTGGGTAAGCCAAGAGTTTTTGCATGTTTACTCCTCGAGGGTAAAAAAGAAAATTAAAAAAATGGCTAAAAGGTGACCTGATGAGAGAGAAGCATAAAAAGGAAGGAGGTTCTCATTACTGTCCTTGTTACATTATTTTTTCTTGGTTTGTAATTGGCAAATGGTAAGTACTAGTGAGAGAGGGAGATTCCTAGGAAAAAGATATTGTTCACCATTACATCATTTCAATTTATACCTTCTTCTTCCCAGAATTCTATGACTTCATTGATTTCTGTTTTTTTACTTGTTGCAATTTCACATCATTCCATGTTACTTGGACATTATGGCATCTGCATATGCAAACATCCATAAAACTAAGACACGAAAAATCAGTAAACAAGAGGTTACTAACAACTAGACAAAGTATCATTCAGATGACAAAGAATGAAAAAAGGAAAAATATAATGAAACACTAAACTTTCAATGTAAAACTCCAATATTTATATGTGTATGAACTGATTAGAGTCTGTATACTCATAAGCTTAACCACACAAATTGTCAATTTTGTTTTTCTATAATAACAAAATAAATCCCATTTGAATCTAATGGTTGTTAGATTCACATATTACTACTAAATTACAGTATGACAACATATAATAGCTGAATATGTAAGTATGTAAACATATTTCTCTATGACATTTCATCAAACACATACAAGACATATGAAAATTACAATAAATCATAGCAAAAGTAATTAAGATTGAAAGATCCACATTGTAGTAGATATCATTATACCATTAAAAATCACATAAACAATTAAACTCATTGATTTGTAAATTAACGAGCCTATGATTTGAGAATTTGAGGGAAACCCCAGTTATATACAACAAAAGAGAAAGAAATTCGATAGACATTTTTTATTTACCTAATATAAAAGAGTAAGATATGACAGATTGAGCATACCCCCGATTCGACCCGAAAGAGATAGAGAACCAACATCGATGTACAGGAAATGTAGAAAAAAGAAATGGAGACCGGATCATATCTACCCTAAACGTGTCTTCTCTAAAGAGACTATGGTGATGGGGTGGCGATTGTGGCCTGACGTGGAGAGAAGGCGGTGGAGATGGAGATCCTTCTCAATCTCTTCGATTTGCAGATATATGGTAAAAGAACAAAAAAACAGGAAAGGAGATGATAATCTAAGTTTTGGTGTGTTCTGAATGTGGTGATTTTGTGGAAGTGGGTAATGTTGGTGATGGAGCAGCAGATGAGGTAGGGGCCGATCGACACACACACCTTTGATACACACCATTAATATTCAGGGGGGGGGGGGGGGGATTTTCCTACTGGTTTCTTCCTAGGATCGAGGTGAATATGGTGAATCGGCGAATTAAGGAAAGAAATAACCAATCCCCTATTAAGGGAAGTATCCATAATTTTGGATTTTATTTTGGGTACTAAAATAAACTTATGTAAAATTCTGAAATTACCCTTGAGTGTTGATTGGTCAGGAATCGGTCACACGTTCACACAATAATTAAAGTTTATATATGAACCTAACTCTCTCTGTCTCTGTCTCTCTCTCTCTCTCTATATATATATATATATATATATATATATATATATATATATATATATATATATATATATATATATATATATTATGGTGAATCGGCGAATTAAGGAAAGAAAATAACCAATCCCCTATTAAGGGAAGTATCCATAATTTTGGATTTTATTTTGGGTACTAAAATAAACTTATGTAAAATTCTGAAATTACCCTTGAGTGTTGATTGGTCAGGAATCGGTCACACGTTCACACAATAATTAAAGTTTATATATGAACCTAACTCTCTCTGTCTCTGTCTCTCTCTCTCTCTCTCTCTATATATATATATATATATATATATATATATATATATATATATATATATATATATATATATTATGGTGAATCGGCGAATTAAGGAAAGAAAATAACCAATCCCCTATTAAGGGAAGTATCCATAATTTTGGATTTTATTTTGGGTACTAAAATAAACTTATGTAAAATTCTGAAATTACCCTTGAGTGTTGATTGGTCAGGAATCGGTCACACGTTCACACAATAATTAGAGTTTATATATGAACCTAACTCTCTCTGTCTCTCTCTCTCTCTCTCTATATATATATATATATATATATATATATATATATATATATATATATATATATATATATATATATATTATGGTGAATCGGCGAATTAAGGAAAGAAAATAACCAATCCCCTATTAAGGGAAGTATCCATAATTTTGGATTTTATTTTGGGTACTAAAATAAACTTATGTAAAATTCTGAAATTACCCTTGAGTGTTGATTGGTCAGGAATCGGTCACACGTTCACACAATAATTAGAGTTTATATATGAACCTAACTCTCTCTGTCTCTGTCTCTCTCTCTCGCTCTCTCTCTCTCTCTCTCTCTATATATATATATATATATATATATATATATATATATATATATATATATATATATATATATATATATATATATATATGGTTAGGTTCATGTGAGACGGCCTAATTTTGTGAGACCGTGAGACGCATTTTTTTATTTTTTTTAGTTAATTCAAGTTCCGAAAATAACAGTTAAAAAAAGAATTTTTGGATTTTTCCATTTATTTTGCATTTTAAAATTATTTTTTAGAATATGTTAGCGTAATATTCTATTAGAATATTTCACGTATTTTTCAAAAAAAAAATTGAATTTATTTTTATTTATTTTTAATTTTTTTAGTTAATTCAAGTTCCAAAAATAATATTTAAAAAAAGAATTTTTAGATTTTTCCATTTATTCTGCATTTTAAAATTATTTTTTAGAATATGTCAGTGTAATATTCCAATTAGAATATTTCACTTATTTTTCAAAAAAAAAAAAACGGAATTTCTTTTTATTATTTTTTTTATTTTTTAATATTTTTTTTTAGTTAATTCAAGTTCCGAAAATAATATTTAAAAAAATAATTTTTGGATTTTTCCATTTATTTTGCATTTTAAAATTATTTTTAGATTTGGTCTCCGGTCTCACAAAATTAGAATGATCTCAAATGAACCTGAACCTATATATATATATATATATATATATATATATATATATATATATATATATATATATATATATATATATATATATATATATATATATATATATATATTAAGTCTATATTACTTTATGGTTTTCATTACACGTGGAACATTACGAAGAACATTTTTTTAATAATGAAATTTATATGTAATAATAAGATTTTAGTAGACACAAAATTAAAATAATAGTTTTTTAACTTTGAGAGATAATACGTTGAGTTTTTATGAATATTTCCTTCAGTTCATAATGATAATACAACTTTACCAAAATTAACCAATATAAATAGTAGATTTTACATATTGTTATAAAATAATTTAGAAGCAAATGATAATCAAATCAACCCGTATTACTTCATTTATCAAGTTATTTAATAAAATTAAGACAAGAATATAAGTTATAGAAAATAAAATATATCTTTCAAACACTTTTCTTTGGATATTAATTTAAAAAAATAACATGAATTATGAAATGAAAATACATTTCATGTTTTAATTAATGAATGTGTAATTGAATAATACGTCTATCTTATGGGATAAGTACAATTGGGCCCGTTGGGCTTGTTGCTTATGGAACAAGATTCATATCACTTTGTCCACCTATTTTAGGGCTCACAGGCAAAGTAATTGCAAATCTGCATCCCCAGACATATGTATTATGCATACCAGACGAAAGATCGATCGATCAAAAGAGGAGAAATCATGTCATCGAAGGTGGTTTTGAAATCAAAGGGCAAATAATCGAGAGAATCAAAGCCATCAGACGATAATTCAGCATCGAAGCTCTTGAAGGAATGAAGTACATGGACGATGAAGAAAGCTAATGTCATCACCCATTACGGATTCATACCATTGGTCATCATCATCGTCATGAATTCGGAGCCTAAACCATCGATCTCTCAGCCCCTCAGCCCGGTTTAAATCGTAACAATCCTTCTTTATTCGTCGAATTTCATTCTAAATGAAGTCGAATCTACATCTAGACATAAGTTAGGGATTTTGTTTGTTTGTCTATTTGATAGGCGTGGTTAATTGAATCGTTTGATATGCAGCTCCGGTTTTCTGTTTCTGTTACAAATTAGTATGAGTTAATTTGATGTATTAGTCTTTACTGATATCTGTTTACATGTATTGCAAATAGATTGCCTTGTGTCAAGCAAAAACATGTTGGTTTTTTTTCTCTAAAATTGAAAGCGAAAACATGTTTCTATTACGAATTAGTATGATTGGTATGAGTTTGCTTCAAGGGTTTTAACCTTCATGGATGCATATAATTAATCCTAAGGGATGTCTAATCTTTTAGCATTGTTTTTTCTCTAAAAACACCCTATGTATTTGCATCT